ACCTAAGTCGCCCATGCTTTCCTCCACTCGAGTCAAGCGTACCTCAAAGCTAGAGACTAAGTCCTTAGACTTCCCCCGTAGTTTTGGCGAGGTGGGGTCACGTTGCTCCTCACGACCCCGTCCTTGTTGCGATGACTCCACGTTGGTGGTGTCGGATCCAATCACTTGATCCTTGGTGTTCTTTGCCATGTCCAGAACGTGGCTCTGATACCACTTGTCACGCTCTTACTCTTCAAGTAAGTAAACGTGCGGCCTTAGCACTCACTTAAATGCTAAGAAAGCCTAATTTACTCAAACTCACGAAGGCAGACAAAGAGTAGACAAGTAAAATTGTATTACTAGAAGAGAACTTTACAAGGCTATTTTGGAACTTAGTCCACAAATGAGGAGGTTCCCCTTATTTATAGGCCAAGGGGACCCTTCTATGAACATTCTAGAATTCTATAGACCACTATCTAGTCTAGAACTCTCTAAAGAATTATACACAAGGTGGACATATCTACAAGTTTCTAGAGTATTCCACAAATGACTACTCTATTAAGAATCATTCACAAGGTTCTAGAGAACTCTAAGGTTCTCCTAAAGTCTATACTTCTCTAGAATTATCTAGAATATTCCATATGGTAGACAATAGTAGAACATTCTAGAGAATCCTAGAGTCTTCTTGCAACCCTTTAACACTTAAAATGGGACAAGAATTTACGGATTGTGACATATTGCTTCTAATAATATACTGAAAAAGTAGAATCTACCAAATCCCATAAGTAACTTGCATTACTGCATGAAAGTAAAGTAATTCAAAATTAAGTTATAAGCAAGATTTTAGATGTCTATTGTCCTTATGATCAGAAATGAAAATCGTGTTGATAAGTCGTATTTGTGGTAATTTATTAACCAATCATATTATAAACCATTGAACACAACTCACTTAACGTATCATAAAATTTTAATTCGAATACAACACGTTTATAATATATGTTGTTATAAATAACACATGTACTCATTAACGCCGTTTAAATTTTAAGTCATGGTGACCTGACTCAGATCGCCTTATCTACTGTTGTAATATTGAATTATAGCACTCAGGTTTGTACCTCTCAAATGTTGTGATGAAACAATAAACCAAAGCCATTTGATTTTCGCAACACTACCTGTTGGTGGGTAGTACTAGTATTGATGTCTGAAGCCACTAGTGCAAAAACAACAAGAGTGCAATTTTTTTTTTTTTTTTTTTCCTCCTCGCTATGTGTCACTCAAAATTGACCTGCAACTTTGTCTATTGTTGGGTAACGTTTTTGAACTTTCATTTTCAGTCCTATTGGCTATCAGTGGTCCAAACAAGTCCCAATATTTGAGTGGACCCATGTGATCATCAGGATCAGCCCCGCCCCGGTTGTTGCCAAATTTTGCCTCACCAATACCTCTTAGACACGTTTCACCATCAAAGTTTGAGAGCCATTTTTGAATCATTAGGCCACGTGTACAAGCAACCAAAATCTCACTCTTTTTTGTTTTTTTTTTTTCCCCCCCATGGGGAGCCCAGGTTAATAAGGTTTTACCCCATTTTTAACTAAAGAATGTGCAATTATATTATTATGATTACAAGTTTAATTACCATCTGATTGGATTTATTACAGAAAATAAAATATGGGAAAAGTGACCCCTTTTGGATGATTTTGAGGTTAACCCAGAAGAAGAAAAGGAAAGGTGTGATAAACGCATGTGAGTAATAGCGTACAACAGCACTCACCACACCAGCCACTTTAGTCAAACGCAAATGGCCGGTGTGTGGGCTCCACACGTGCCATCAAGTGTGGGGATTTGTTGGGCCTTGCAAATCATTCAGATCAAGGGTCCTAGATACGTATGAAGATTGGACTTTTTTTTTTCTTTTTCTTTTTTGGGGGGTTTGATTTTAGATTTGAATTCAGAGATGGTAGTAGTGGCACACCATTTCAAGAGTCAGTGGTGCCTAGGTGGAGAGAACATGCATGGTAATATGGTGTTTGACTTAGGAGAGCCATTCCCACATTGTTTCTCTTTTTTCTTTTTTTTCTTTTTTTTTTTTTTCTGGTGTTGAACCAAAATTCAAAGCCAACTATAGACTAGTTGGAACTGATATTCTTGTAGCTCAAATAATTGTCCTAGAATATTGGCTGTCGTATGCCGTCATGTGAACTCTAGCAGCAGCAATTTTAGAAGCAATAATATTGTTCATCGCATTTGGTGATGAATCTTTATATACATAGATGACAACGTGTCCAGAATATACGCGTAAGAAATCAACGGATACTTTGCTCACAATAATGTAGTCTAGTGATAAGACATAATCATCTTGCTATAAGCAGTAAATCTTAACATTCAAGTTCGAGTTATAAGTACTTTATATGAAAAAAAAAAAAGGCAAACACTTTTGAATTGTACTTTTTGCATGAAACGAAACCCATTTTTTGTGCTTTTTTCATTAAAGTCTCGTTTATTTTATCGATTTGAGTTTTCAATTTTAAATTTTTATAGTTAAAAACTCTCAAAAAATGTCACATCTAACATTTTTTGCTACAGTTAAAAGCTCTAAAAAAATATCACATTTCAACTCGAATTAAAAACTCAAATCCGTGAACCCTAAGAAAACTAGAAGGTTAACCTAGATAACCTCTGGTCGTTTTACGGGCCCATTGACACCCTGAAAACAATTGGGGAGAAAAAGAGAAATAAGTCAAGATTTGAGATGAATTAAAATTAATAGACCAATAGTTTACATAAGTTAATAAATATGCTAAATTACTGTTTTCGTCCACAACTTATATGGTTATGAACCATAACTTGACAAGTTATTGTCCATAATTGTCCATAACTTGTCTGCCTATGAACCATAACTTAATAAGTTTATCAATAACTTATCTGGTTATGAACCATAACTTGACAAGCTATAACCTATTAATTTCTGTAACTAAAAATTAACCTGTATACTTTCTTAAGCTTTTCATATTAGCCTATTTTTTATTATTTTCTAGACAATTGTACCAACACGGTCGAGGCAACTTGAACTCTAAACTCTTTTTACGAGGTGAACGAGTGTCCAACCAACCCAACCTAAATTGGCCACCGATTTTTCGTGCTTGGATGCATCATGCACATGATTGCGGCAATCTCTGCTGCTTAGTCAATATGATGCTAACTATTTCATGTTGTCGTTTGTCGTTAATGGATCATGGTTCTAGCTAGATCTATAAGGTGTACTTTAGATAACTTCCAATTTTGTTAAGCTAACAGGCTTTTTTAAAAATTTAAAAGAATAATGTTAGAGACACCAATTTAAATTTAAATTTTTATGTATTAACTGATGTAACATGAATATTGTCATATTTTTTTATTAATAAATACAATATTTTATTATTAATTGACATGTCAATATTTTAAACATTTATCAATATAAAAATAAAAATTCATATACTACATCAATTAATACACAAATATTAAAATTTAAATTAGTATCAAATCCAAAATAATACGATTGAATGGAAAATTGTAGCCAGTCCAAGCGAAAGGATAGAACATGACCCTGTTGTCTGTTGAGTTGCTACCAAGAAATCATGATTTCGCCGTCTCTTCTCCAACATTCCAAATCACTCAACTTGGATTTTTCAGAGCTGGGGACTGTGACCTTTTTCTTTTTTTTTTTTTTTTTTTTTTTTTTTTCCCCTCTGCGCTTTTTTGCATTGTGTAGTTTGCTTTACGCTGATGATCACATTTTATTTTTCTTTTCTATATTCTAGCTACTAGCTAGACTTGTGACTTGTGCGGAAGTGACTTATTATGATTTGCTTAAGTTCCAGATAAATCTTCTGGTTTGATGCTTTCAATGCAAGAAAGTTCTGATACCTATCTATGTTATTAGTGTTTGAAAGTTTGAATTAAAATCAAATGTGTGTAACCAAATGTAAAGAAGTAAGAATAAAGAATTCATAGCCTTTGTTTTTCTTGCTTTATAGACCACCTTTACTTATTGAGAAGTAATACTCAATCATAATTGGTCCGGATTTTAGTCCCCAACACTTTTCATTTCGAAAACATCAGATTCAAGCTCGAGTTGTTCAACAAAGAGACAGCCAATTGATAAAGTAATAGCTTAAGTTAACTTCATTGCCAAAAGATTCGATCGATGTTTTTTTTCAATTTCAACGATCGAATTACGCTACTTTCTGTGGGTTCTCCAAAAGTTTTCTATATGTAATTTCTTTCCGAAAGAGATGTGATTCTTTGCGTTAGATTTCAAACGAACATAGATTTCGAGGCAGATTTCTACTTCTAGCTTATAGTAAACTGTACCCTTACCCGACAAGAATCCATACACTTGAATTTTGGAGAAGATGGCAGCACTACTAAAGTGACGGACGGATAAATTCTCTGCTTTAAGTGCAAATTTATGTCTCAGAATTTCCAGTGGCTTCGTTTAGATTCCATGTATAGCAAAGCTTCGTGTCCATGAAGGCAGCGTTAAGAAAATTCTAAGATTCCACCTTTTATTTGCTTAAGCCTTGAGGCTGTTCTTTTTTACTATTTGAGATAGAAAATTTAGTTAAAAAGTGAATTTATAGAGGAAAACATTGCAGTAAGAATGTTAAATTTAAATTTTTGTGAAAGAAAGCTCTAAAATGAAAAAACTTAGAGACGTTTAGTTCATGTATTAGAATCATGAGATTAAAACTATTTTCGATTTATATGTATTTTTTGTGAGAGAAAATACTGTAGCGAACCATAAACCATGATTCGAATCAGAATACGAATCCCTCAACTAAACAACCCTTGTGAAAAAAAACGGATTCTTGTTGGTAGATTTTATTTGCTTAAGAAAAATTCTAAGAATAATACAAAAAAGATTAGTGCATATGCGAAAGCAGATCGTGTCTCACAAAGCAGTTACTGTCAGCGTCTACTAATCTCACAAACTCAAAATGTTTAGCAAAAAAAAAAAAAAAAGAAAAAAAAAAAGGAGAGGAGGCGATCAAATGGTGATTAAATTTGGGGTTAAGAGACAAATACATTTGGATCCTCGAGTTATGATACAACTATCTCCAACATGGATTTCTTTTCCTTCTTTTCTTTTCTACCATTAAGATCACAGAAAGAAACCAAACCCCAATGAGCCAGTTCTAAAACCTTAGTTGCTGCTATCACTATTATTGTTATTGTTGTTACTATGATGATTACTGGCATTCCCAATCCCACCTCCTCTTCTCCCATGCTTGAGCTGAGAAATCTCCAACTGTGTCTTCATGAAGAACTGCATCCTCTGCAGCTCCAAATCCTTGGCAAACTTCATCCTCTGCTTCTCCATCTCCACCACCTGCTGCAACTTTGAGCTCTCCGCCTGCTCGTAAGCCTCCCCAAACTTCAATATCGCCTGCGTCAACTCCTTAACTGCACTCCCCCACCCCTTCTTTTCCCTTCCCCCATCTCTCACTGCCGGGTTCGAATTCAAATTCGAGTTCATATTCATATTCATATTCATGTTCATTTCCCTGGCCGTCCTCGGCCTCTTTCTCTCATAAACATCAAATGGGAAGCTATCAGTCGACGCAGGCGACGCCTCCCTTGAAGAGCCCGAATCCACGGGGCCTCCCCTTCTCTTGAACTGTATCTTCTGGTTCTTCAACTGCAGCTGGGGCTTCTGGTCTCGCTGCTGACCATGAAATGGACTCACCCTGCGAACCCCAACCGGGATTCCCAACGGCACCTTTTGTGCCTGCTGCTGAGATGCGGCGTTGGCTAAGGCGGCCACGGCGTGGCTTCCAGAGCCAGAGATCTTCGCGGTGGGGCCGATCAAATGGTCAAGCCTATCATAGAAAGGCCACTTGCTGGGACCTCCACCGGCAGCGATCTTGGCCTTCTCAAGCTTGTACTTCTTCTTGACAGTATCGATTCGGTTCTTGCACTGAATATCCGTCTTGGGGGTCTTCGTATAGTCCTCTCTGATACTCACAATATCCGCAACCTCTTTCCAGTGCTTTTGCTTCAGATTCCCTCGGCTCAGTTCTAAGTAGCGCTCCCCCCACGCCTCGATCAGCACCGCCGTCGCGCCTTCGCTCCAGCAATCCTCTCTCCCTCCGCCTCCGCCACCGCCGCCGTTCCTCGTCTGTTGGATCGGCAGGGGCCAGCCACCCCCCCCCCCCCCCCCCCCCCCCCCCGCCGCCGTTCCTCGTCTGTTGGATCGGCAGGGCAAGAGTGAGAGTGTTCTGGGCCGCCGGCGAATGCTGCTGAGGTGGCGCCGCCGCCACCGTCACCGTTATACGCCCCACCGGCCTCGGCGACGCCGGAGATCCGCTCCTCGGAGATAAGTGCGACTGGATCTCGTCGTCCTCTTCCATTGAACCCCTGTTATCGTAACACCTCCGATCTAGGTCCAAAAAAAGGTCTAATCTTTAGAAAGTGAAACAGAACATCGCCGATCTGGAAACTGGGACGGCGAGAAAATATTTCAAGCGGATTAGGGTTAGGGTTTCGGTGACCAAGATAAGAACTTTCAGATCGGCGAAATTGTAAGCTCTAAGAAACAGAATAGCTAAAAAGTCACCAGCTTTAGACCCAAAAACAAAAACCCAAATCTAAAAAAACCAAAATAAAACCTAAAAGAAAACAAACAAATGCACTTGGATCTTCAAAAACAAATCAAACACATATCAACAAACTAAACAAACGCCAGAGATTCCCCAAAAACATATATAGATACAGAAAAAGGAATCAGACCCAAATCAGAAACGTACCGATGAAGAGCTGAATATCGGAGAAATAATTAGGTTTAGCAAAAAGGGGATTATGAGAACCGGATATTGAAAAGAAACACCGGCATTTTCGCTTTCTCTGATTGTCTTTCTCTGCGTGGGTGAGTAATTGGTGTGTCGTTTTGTGGGTTTGGGTTTCTTTATTGTTTTCTCGGTTGACGGAAAAAACAGAGAGGGTTGAGTTGGGTGGGTGGGTGGGGTTTGACGGCTACCGTCGAGGGGGTACGAAACGAGGGCCGAA